TTAGAGAAGTGTCTATTCATGTTTTCTGCCCATTTCTTCACTGGGTTATTTGTTTTTCGGGTGTGGAGTTTGGTGAGCTCTTTATAGATTTTGGATACTAGCCCTTTGTCCGATATGTCATTTGCAAATATCTTTTCCCATTCCGTTGGTTGCCTTTTAGTTTTGTTGGTTGTTTCCTTTGCTGTGCAGAAGCTTTTTATCTTCATAAGGTCCCAGTAGTTTATCTTTGCTTTTAATTCCCTTGCCTTTGGGGATGTGTCGAGTAAGAGATTGCTACGACTGAGGTCAGAGAGTTATTTATTTATTTTGAGAGAGAGAGAGAGAGAGAGAGAATGAGCTGGGGAGGGGTAGAGATTGAAGGGGACAGAGGATCCGAAGCGAGCTCTGTGCTGACAGCAGAGAGTCCAGTGTGGGGCTTGAACTTGTGAACTGTGAGATCATGACCTGAGCCGAAGTGGGGCGCTTAACCAACTGAGCCACCCAGACACCCCTATTGTTTTTTCTTTTAGAACTTAGAATTTTGACTCAATTAGAAAAGGCTTCTCTATCATATTTTACTCCATTATTTTTATTTCATTTTTTACATTTACATCTTTGCTCCACTTAGGATTTATCTGCATGTACAGTATGTTGTAGGTATAATTTTTTCCCCTAGATAACTATCTGGTGGTTTCCATGTATTTATTAAATAGTTCATCTTTTCCTGGCTAATCATTATATACTAAGTTCTCCCATATATTTGGTTCCATTTCTGATATTTATTCCTGTTTTTTAAGTGTGTGGTCATAATGAATATTTAGACTATATTGTACTGTCTAGACTTAGTCCTTTCATTGTTTTTTATTTATCCCTCAGAGTTTTTCTGATATTGTTGGCTATACGAACTTTAGATACTTAGTTTAAGTTAAGATGAAGAGGTAGCTTAAAGATGTTAACTCTATGTATGAACACAGAAAGCCTCCCTATGTTCCAGGTTTCTTTTGAGTCCTGGAGTGTTTTAAAGTTTTTATTATATAGGTCTTGGGCATTTATTGTTCAGTTCATTCCTAGGTATTTTGTCTCTTTTATTGATATTGTGACCCCCCTTTTATATCCTTTAATTATTATTAAGAGCTTAAACTTAAAAATCAAGGTAGGGAATGGTAAAGTTCATGTTTATGGAATATAATTGTACCTTCAAATTGAGAAGCTTTCCAGGGTGGGTTTTGTCTGAGAATAGCAAAAAGAAGTGATTGTCTAAATATAATTGGAATGCTAATTATAGAACTGTTTTGCGAAGTTTAGGTTATAAAAGGGGAAATAGAAGTAATATTGAAAAGTTATAGTGGGGGAATTTGTGAAAAGACCTGAATACATATATTAGGTATTCATAATTTGGTAGGTAGTGATAGGTCAGTGAGGAATTTAGAGCAGGTGAACTGCACTTAAGAAGATTGACTAGGCAGTGTTCTACAGGCCACTGGATTGGGGAGGGGAGAAACCAAGGGTAAGAAGACCAGTTTGGATTTTAGGCAAGAGGTAATGAGAACCAGAATTAGCCTTGTAAAAGGTGGAAGGCAAAGACTGGCTATGAGAACAATTCCATTGAAATTGCAATCACTAAAATCATTAGTGACCTAAAATGTAAAACTCAGGCTTCCTTTGTGTTGTCATTCTGCAGACAATCTCATATTTATGGAATTGTTGACTGCTTCCTCTTAGCAGTGTTTCTGGATTCTTCTAACTTTCTGACCATTCCTTCTGACTCTTTTGCTGTGTTTTTTCTTTAGACTTCTTAAGTGTTGATACAGCCTAGAATTTGTGTTTAATTTTCATCTTTTGTTGTTTCTGTGATCTCATATAGTTTTGGCTGCAAATCCCTATCTCCAATTTCCGTTGCTTTTTTGACCACTGTAGTCTGGGGTTAGTGTTCTTTCCTCTGATCTCATGGCACCCAGTTCATAACCTCTCCCATAGCACTTACTATGCTACATTCCAAGGATCCTTAGGCTCATCTATCTTCCTAACTAGATTGTGAGCTCCTTGAAGGTAGGAATGGGGTTATTCCTAGCGCTTAGCTAGTGCCTGGTACTGAATGGATTTCTAACTATTGTTAGACATGACCACCTAAGTATTCTGTAGACCCTTCGGTTTATGGTCATGAACTCATCATCTATACCTCAAACCTCCTCCTTCTCTTGTTTCCTATCTTAATGGTAAAGTTGTGATTATCTTGATTATCCAAGCTAGAAACATCAGAACCATTTTCACTTCCTTGTTCTCCACTCATAGATCACTATTAAGACTTCTTTAAATATGTTTCTCATAGGTGACCCTGCCAACTCCATACCAAAGCTGCCGATTTATTCTAGGTCCTCATTTTTCCCCTCACTACTAAAATAACCTTTAAATAGCAGAAATTCCTGCATTTTGTTAGGAACATTCATTAATGTTATTTTAGGTAGGTCATCATTTTTCAATGCTGCATGTCTTGCATGTTAATTATAAATTATTGTTGGGTTATCTTCATCATCATCAGTTGAGTTTGTTGTGATAGTTTAGAGTGAATAGTGATGCATATTTGCATGGGCAATAGTTTTGGCTTGTATTTTTCAAATAATTAGATTATATACATGTTATAATTTAGATAAATTATTCATACTGTTCTTGCTTTAGCAGTATTCATAATTGCTTAAGATTCTTGTGTGACATTTTTTGTTATCACTGAGTTATTTTTCCACTGCAGTGTGAAAAAGGAGGGGGATAATTGGGCCATAGGGTTTTTGTTGTTTTGTTTTTTTGTTTTCTTACCTCACTTAAAAGTGTATCTAAAGGATTTGAGAACTGTTGGCCCAGTCTAAACTCTTTATTAGTGTATACAAGGCTTTATATTGAAGTGTTAGCCACCAGTTCTATCAGCATCATCTCCCAGTACTTTTTTATTTACACCAAATTTTAGTCTAGCCTACAGAGTTTATGGTCTCCTGAAAACATCCTTTTTTTTTTTTTTTTTTATGGTTTTCATGCCTGCTATTCTCTTTTCCTAAAATGTTTTTCTTTTTCTTAGCCTGATAAATTCACTGTTCTCAGTCCAGGTCAAGCTTAATCACTTAATAATAGCCCTTCTAATATTTGTATATTACAGCACCAATATTGTATCATACTTTTGTCCATGTTTTTTTTTTTTTTTTAATTTTTTTTTTTAACGTTTATTATTTTTGGGACAGAGAGAGACAGAGCATGAAAGGGGGAGGGGCAGAGAGAGAGGGAGACACAGAATTGGAAACAGGCTCCAGGCTCCGAGCCATCAGCCCAGAGCCTGATGCGGGGCTCGAACTCACGGACCGCGAGATCGTGACCTGGCTGAAGTCGGACGCTTAACCGACTGCACCACCCAGGTGCCCCAATGTCCATGTTTTTTCACTAGACTATGATTACTTTATTGTTTGGATCTTTCATGTCTAGAAATGCATATGGTTCACACTTTATATGTAATAATTGGTTGAGTGGATAATTGAAAGAATGAATAAAATCAATATGTTTAGTCTAGAGGATTTGACAGCTATTTTATGAGATGTGCACAAAAAGGGAAAGATAGGAATATCTGGAAAGGAAAATGATAGTTCATTAAAAGAGAACTTATGGAGAGTTTTCATGCAGTAGATTGAATAGAAAATCCTCAGTCACAAACACTAAACATGCTTGCTAAATATAATAAACATCCTTTTTAAATACCTCTAAAGTCCTTTGAGATAGGGATTAAAAAATAAATTGGGGAAATTATTTTAAGAAATTAAAAGTTAGTAGAAATACTTCTGTCTAGTTTCTGCTGGATTGTTCTTAAAGTTAGGATATGTGGGAAATCTGAATTCTACCTCTTTAGTCCCTAGCATAGTGCTCCTGTCTCCTTAGCTTTACGCATGAGAGGTGCATTGGGTACTAAGAAGGGTTATCTGTACCGTAATAAAGACTCGCTAATAAATGGAAAATAGTTATGGAAGAGTAGACAAGAACCAGATATTGCAAGACCTAGACTGTCAGACTGAGAAGTTAAGAACTTTTGAAGGTTTTTAAGCAAGAGATTTGTCTAGATGAAGGTGATGGTTTTGTACTGAAGTGTAGGATCAATGAGGATGGAAAGAGACTGAAAGAAGAATAGCTATTAGTATGCTATTATATTGAGAGTGGACTGGGATATGGGGCATAGAGACTGGAAAGGAAGGGTGACATGAGACACTTAACTGGGAAAGACTCAGCAGGACTTGGTGATGACGGAAAGATGACTCAGGTTTGAGTCCGAGTGAATGGGATTTAGGGGAGAAAGAGGGTGAGCCAGCCTGTTGAGGGAGGAGGATGGGTGCTCAGTTTGTACTTGTATATGAGAACATTTAAGTGGATTATATCCCAGGCATTGTGAGATATGATATATCTGCTTAGAATAAGAAATGATTGCTTTTTTTTTTTTTTTTTTTTTTGGCATATGCAGTAGGTAGGTTCTCAGTAACTTTGTTGATAACATACATTTAGAATGGTATATTTGAAGCAGCAACATAAATTGCTTGAGCTAAATACTTTGTAGGGGAAAAAGCAGTTTAGGGACTAAATTTCCTTTGTTCATTTGAGGGGGTAAAAAGCAGCGGGGGAATTTGGAGGTTATAAGGAAATCCATGCCACAGAGCCAGTTTTGAGGGTGGTTGCCGGGACAAGGATAAGCAGGGTGTTTTAGGTTTGACAAGTAGGCAGTTGTTGACTTCTGAGTTTTTTTTTAGAGTAGAAGGACAAAGAAGGTTCATAGAGCATTTATAGGTTGTAGACGATTAAGAGGAAATAATGGAGTGTTAGAGAATGGAGGCATTAGTACAGATAGTTTACAACATTTGTCAGTGGAATGAGAAAAATAGATAATATCGTGAAGAGAAGTTTCTCAAGATTGGAAGAAGAGCCCTGTATGTCCTTTGAAGAGAAAAGTGAACACTGGTGTTAGGGGGATGATTGAAGATGTAGGAGATTAGGAATTAGAAAAATAAGATCTTGAGTCAAGTGGAAGAGGCAGCTTTAGAGAGGGACATTAAGCAGTGTTTCCTCTGGGACGAGAGGATGAGAGAATTGGTGTAGAACAAGTAAGTTGACATCAAGGAAAGGTAGATAATGAGAGGAGTGCTGTTGTACCTTTGTGTGGTATACTTGATTGTAAAGCAGAGAAAGCTACAAAAAAAAGTGAAAAATGCTTTGTTTTCAACAAAAAGTCCATAGTGATTTTTACTGTATTAAACTTACTTTGGTATGAAGTAAAAAACCTGAAAGTTGTTGAAACTTAATTGGAAAGTAATTGACTTCAGGTTCTTTTTATTAGTATAATTAATTGGAAGACTAAATTAGAATTATATTTTATTTATAATATCTCTTTATTTCTACTACAGGTTATATTTTAAGTGTTGTGCTACTAACCTTGCCCAGACAGCATCTGGTTCAGCTTTACCTGTATTTTTTGACTGCCCTGCTCCTCTATGCTGGCCATCAAATCTCCAGGTAAGAATGTGACCTTGTTTTTGAAATGTATGACCAAATATGGTTTTTCATTACCAATAAAATATTTTTCATGAACACTGTTAATAAACTGAGGCTTTGCTAAGTTCCAGAACAGGGTTTTTAATATTTGTTTTTTAAGTAAATATTATTTTATAGAAATAATAGCTGGGGTTATGCCTCAAATTTTATTTCTGCGTTTAAAAACAACCTTAATATGAGGGTTGCCTGGGTGGCTCAGTCGGTTGAGTGTCTGACTTAGGCTCAGGTCACGATCTCATGGTTCATGGGTTCGAGCCCCATGTCGGGCTCTGTGCTGACATCTCAGAGACTGGAGCCTGCCTCAGATTCTGTGTCTCCCTCTCTCTCTGCCCCTCCCCTGTTCGTGCTTTGTCTCTCTCTCAGAAATAAACAAACATTAAGAAAAATTAAAAAAAAAAACAATCAATATGAAATGGACCTTAAGATTATGTTTACAGAGATACTCATGAGCTTTTCTATATCACCTAAGACAAGAATTTCCAAAGATAGGCTGTAGAATATTTTAACAATTATAGACTTGATTATTTTCATCATTTTAGGGAATCAAGTTTATGATGCAGGAGAATCGGCATGAGATGCGACCACCTATATAGTGGATGATTTGTATAAATTATCTGATGAGTTTCATGGTATAGCTCAGAACTTCTTCATCTTTAGCAATATTGTGTTTGTCTGGGTCTGCTAGTCCTAAATTTTAAGACTCTGGTCTGCCGATGAAAATGAACTTCCTACTTTGGAATGGAATGTTAAAATACAGGTGAACCAAAAGCCACACAGTAAATGTAATGGTGGGGGTATAAATAAATTTGGAGGGTATGATTTCTTTTGTTATGATTGAAATGTATAACCAAAATTAAATATACTCCCAATCCTAAGAAGAGGGACAGTTACTTTGCGTATATAATAAGAAGTAGTTGTCTAGAAGTCTGAAACGCAGATTTTGGTGTTAGCTTGAAAATTAATCTTAGAAATAGCATTTTTATATTACTAGAATTGAATGGTTGACTTGGAAACTTTTTTACTCTCATAAAATAATACTGTTCATTGGAGATGAGTTTTGGGAAATACAGAAAATTTAAAGGTAGTAACAATTACGTACTGTAATCATACCACCCAGAGATAAACCTGTTAAAATCTGGCATTTCCTTCCAATTTTCTTAATACCTTCTAGTTTTTACCACTTTTGTGGATATGAAAAGAATGAAAATAGCAATAGTCCTGGACTCTTGGCCCCTCTTGTTGAAGCAGGACTTTTATCCTCCTTAAAATTTCATCTGGTTATTACTCAAAGGACCTAAAGCGTTTTGCAGAAACTCCATCTTCTCACATTTCTCTCCTCAGTTCCTGTCTGGTCAGTTTTCTCTGGTACCTGGAAGGTGATGTTTTACTCTAATTGCCATTATCCTTGCCCAGGGTATGTCCTTGGATGTCAGTTACAAAACTGGACCTATTGGAGTAGTACTGCATTTCTTGTAATCCTAACAGTGGTTCAAGTTGAGCTGTGTTTTACTCCTAAAATGAAGACATGAGTTTTCTAATTTTGTGTCACACAAGTATGTCCCTGGGTCTTGGACTCCTTCATGGGAACATGAATTAGATTCGTAGCATCTTTATTCACATAGCCAAGAAGAGGAGTCTAGTGGCCAGTACCAACACAGACAACAGAATGTACTTCCAATCCATTACCACCAGCCCCAAACCCTGACACAGTCTGTTCCTGTGGCCTTACCCAGGACATCTCTGAATCTGAGCTCAAGTTCAAGGTAGAGACACTTCTCTATCTTTATTCCCTTTTTTTTTTTTTCCTGGAGAGAGAAAGAGGGCACAAGTGAGCGAGGGGCAGAGAGAGAATCCCACAAGAGGGAGAGAGAGAGAGAGAGAAGAGGGGCTCACCTGAAGGAGGGCTTGTGTTCACCTGATGCAGGGCTTGTGCTCACCTGATGCAGGGCTTGAGCTCAGGTGATGTGGGACTCAGATACACAAACCTTGAGATCATGATCTGAGCCGAAGTCAGATGCTTAATGGCTGACCCACTCAGGTGCCCTGTCTTTATTCATTTTTAAGCAAAAATTGTGTCTGTAGAGTATAATGCAGTAGTTAGAGTATAGGGTTTTCTAAGTCATCATTTTCGTGTACAGATGAGTGCCTGGCCATCTAAGAGTGCTGCATTTTTTAGATAAGTGGACAGGTGATTGGGGTGTTTCAAATTCCATGTTCTTTATTTACTACTCTATAACCTCAGTGTCACCAGAAAGATAGGTCTCCGTTTTCTTACCTGTAAAATGTTGATAATATCTTACGGGGCTATCGTAAAGGTTCAGTAAGGTAAGGCATTTAAAGCTCTTAGCATGATTTCTGACATACAAGTGTTCCGTGAATTTTTTCTTTTTTTTTTTTTAAAGTTCTTTATTTTAATTCCGGTATAGTTAACATCAGTGTTATGTTAGTTTTAGGTGTACAATATAGTGATTCAACAATTCTATACAGTACTCCGTGCTCATCATAAGTGTACTCTTAATCCCCTTCACCTATTTCACATCTCCCCCCACCCACCTCCTCTCTGGTAACCATCAGTTCTCTGTAGTTAAGAGTCTGTTTCTTGGTTTGGCTCTCTCTTTTTTTCCCTTTGTTCATTTGTTTTCTTAAATTCCACATATGAATGAAATCATATGGTATCTGTCTTTCTCTGACTTATTTCACTTAGCATTATACTCTCTAGCTCCATCCATCTTGTTGCAAATGGCAAGACCATTCTTTTTTTTATGGCTGAATAATATTCCATTGTGTATGTATATACCACATCTTCTTTATCCATTCATCTGTGACACTTGGGCTGCTTCCATAATTTGGCTGTTGTGAATAATGCTGCAGTAAACATAGGGGTGCATATATCCTTTCGAATTAGGGTTTTTGTATTCTTTGGGTAAATACCCAGTAGTGGGATTACTGGGTTGTAGGGTAGGTCTATGTTTTTTTAATGTTTGTTTATTTTTGAGAGATAGGGAAGGAGTGCGAGTGGGGGAGGGGTAGAGAGAGAAGGAGACACAGAATCTGAAGCAAGCTCCAGGCTCTGAGCTGTCAGCACAGAGTTCGGTGCAGGGCTCAAACCTACACACATGAGATCATAACCTGAGCCAAAGTCAGAAGCTTGACCCACTGAACCACCCAGGCGCCCCAAGGTAGTTCTATTTTTAACTTTTTTGGGGTTTGTTTGTTTGTTTGTTTGTTTGAAGAACTGATCTTTTTTTTTGTAATTTATGAAGAATTCTGTCCTAGATATCCAATTAGAGTATCAACTACAGGATCTTTCAGATTCATCAGTTGGAGTAAGATCCCAGTTGCCTAAAGTTTCTGAATTATGAACTACTTTTTTTTTTTTTTTTTTTAATTCTCAAGTTAGTTAACGTACAGTGTAGTCTTGGCTTCAGGTGTAGAACCCAGTGATTCATTTTGTACATATGACACCCAGTGCTCATCCTAAAAAGTGTCCTCCTTAATGCCCATCATCCATTTAACCCACCCCCGACACCCCTACCCCCATTAACCCTCAATTTGTTCTCTGTATTTGAGTCTCTTATGATTTGCCTCCCTCTGTTTTAATCTTATTTTTCCTCCTCTTCCCCTATGTTCATCTCAGATTCCGCATATGAAAGAAACCATATGAGATCTGTCTTTCTCTGACTTATTTCGCTTAGCATATCCTCCACTTCCATCTCGTTGTTGCAGATGGCAAGATTTCATTCTTTTTCATCGCTGTGTATTATTCCATTGTATATATAAACCACATCTTTATCCATTCATCAATTGATGGAGATTTGAGCTTATTCCATAATTTGGCTATTGTTGATAGCACTGCTATAAACATTGGAGTGCATGTGCCCCTTCGAATCAGCATTATTGTATCCTTTGGATAAATTCCTAGTAGTGCAATTGCTGGGTCATTTTGTGAACACTTGATGTTTCTTGTGTTTTTGATTTTAGACATTCTGACAGGTGTGAAGTGATACCTCACTGTAGTTTTGATTTGCATTTCCCTTCTGGTGAGTTATGTTGAGCATCTTTCCATTTGTCTGTTGGCCATCTGGATGTCTTCTTTGGAGAAATGACTATTCATGTCTTCTGCCCATTTTTTAATTGGATTATTTGTTTTTTGGGTGTAGTGCTTAGTGAATTTTAACTAACATTCTTGTGTCTTGTTTTTATTATGCAGCCATGTTTTATGAGCATTTTCCTGTGTGTCATTCTTTAAAAAAAGACTTTTCAAATCTGTATTATGATATAGCTATATAATGATAGCCTTTTAGGTTGATGTGATTTCTTTGATTAATCATCAAAATCCTAAAGTTGAAGGTAGAGCTATATTAGTTATAATTCTGGGTGATAAAACAATGATACTATCCTTTCCCTCATGCTTTTTTGTTTCCATGTGGTTTAGTGGTGTAGTGATGAAAGTCTGTAGCTCTATTTTTATATACCGTGTTGCCATCCAGGCTTTTTTAGAGATCAGAATTCTGTTATATAAAGATAAAGGTGACTGTGACCATGTCAGGGGTAAAGGAAAGCCTTTTTCTGACCATTCTTCTGGTGGCAGTTTTAACTTTTGATTTTTAGTTTATGGGAATGTTTTTTTCTAATGTTTAGAGTTTGTTTTTATTATAAGATCAAACTTATTTAAAATAGTAAAAATAATTATAATAGAATTTTATAATAACACACATAAAATACAAAAACATTTCTTTTTTTTTTTTTTTTCGTTTTGATCCTTATCCCAGTCCTTTGGGATTTATAGAAGAAAAAATTGAAGTGGGTGAATAGCTGGGAAGGAACAGTCTCAGACTTTAATTTGAATGTAGGTTTTCTAATTGCTAGTTTAGTCCTTTTAGGGAGACAGCATGGTTAGTGGGAAGAAAATGAGTTTTCGAATCAGACTGTGTATGAACTAGTTCCCTACTTAGTAAAAT